TGATGCGATCGTTATTTTTTTTTAAAAAGGCATCTACTTTTACAATTATAAATCAGTAGTAACTATTTTAATTGGCATTATTTGTACAGGTACTTCTCCTTTTTCAGGTGTAGTTCCTGGATACTATATAAATTTGCATTAAATATAGCACTCTTTTTTCTTTTTTTAACAGTGGCTACAAACAACTTTATAGTGCTATCGAATAAGATTTTCCTAACATTAAAAAAGTCCAACATTACATTTTATGCAGGATTTATTATATGTTTAAAGTCCTTGTCCCTTTGTCCAAATTAACTGGGTTTGCAGTATCTCAGCACGGATGCTATTCCAGTGTATGTAGCCCATGTAAGTGTTTAGTACACAATTGAGATCCAAGTTAGAAATATTATCTCCCATGCTCTTCTGCTTTTGGATATACATATTATCAGAACTATATCTAATCAAAACTACATTTTACGGGGCAGCAACTGCTTCCTATCAGAAAAGATACACATTGCACCCCAGCATCTTCTGCATACTCCAAACATGGTGATTTCTGTTATGATTTTGTTCACTATTAAAAATGGGAGAAGGGAGAAGGCTAGTTTCTTATAAAATTAGTATTTTGTCTTAGATTTAGGATTTTAAAAAATATCTAGAGACAAGATATTTACAATAGTGAAACATGACATTTAGGATTATCAAAGGCAGATAATTCTTCCATCTTCATAGTCAGCCACAAAGGGTTTGTAGGGCAAACCAAACCAAAGCAGACCACTATCCTTGTAAAATAGCTAAATGATTTGGGACAAATTAACGAAAATGATATTGGCTTTGCTTATGTTTTAAAATGTATGAATCTTGCATGCTAACATGGATTAAGACCAGGGTGAAGCAGTTTTGATTCACATCTTACCTTCTACCAAAGCTCTATTCCTTGTTCATACTTCATCCTATAAAGGGAAAATGGCAGGAGGCAAACAAAACTGAATGCTACTAGTTTATCACATCTTTTTTCATTGAGGGAAGGTGCATACCAAATGAAGCCCAGGCAAAATTATATTACTATAGTACTGGATAAGGTTTCAAGTGAAATAAAATAAGCTCTACTCAAGACCTCAGTTAACTCCCTGAATACATGGCCATCTGGATTCTGTCTGTTGACCAAATCCAATCTTCCACCCCAAGTTTCTCAGCATAAGCAGTATAAAATATAATGCTGAAATAATGTTTAAGTAGATCCCAACCCCATTAGAGTATGCAACCTTAAAAAAACAAAAGGGATATTTATCTTAAAATAGCCTATTTCATTTACTGAAAAAACTGAAGCCACTTTAATGGGATACATCAAATTTTCATTATTTAACAGGAATAAGGATACTAAAAAAATTAAGATTAGGAAGCAACTGTGTAACTGGCCCAAAAGAGCAGAAGAGTAAAGTTGTAATCTAGTTCTACTCCTAAGTAAATCATAGAATCGTATTACACAGTCATGTCTATATATTTCTGTCCTGGTTCTATCAAAACACAGAGTATTATGGGGGTCAAGTGGGTCTTGAAAATAGCACATGTGAGCACAAGAAGAACACAGGGGAAGTTTAAAAACAAAAAAAAAAGGCATTTCCTGTGTAAAGTCTACAGTTTTCTTAAATATCAAGTCCCTTTATTCCTTCAATCTTTTCTGACCTATCTGATCTCTAAAAGCACTGTCTCATTTTAAGTTACAACCATCTCATCAGTTGAGTTCATAGGCAGATGCAAAGGAAGATGCAAAGACCTTACTACAAATGGTAAAGAATCCAGTCCATTATTCATTATAAGGCTGGAATTGAACCCAAGTCAACCAAACAACTATTTCCCATATAAAAACAGTGTCACTTTCAAAGTAGAATAAAAAACCCTTACCAAGTTGTATACAGAGCAATTATATGGAAAAATTGCAATTGACTACAATGTATTATTTTATCTTTGTGTTTAATTACTAATATCTTTATATTTCCTGGAATCCAACTAGATTGGGAAGTAAACTGGATAAATTAATAAATACATTTCTATAGAGAATAACATAAGATTAGTAGTTTAAACTTTTATGGCTATGAAAGTCACATATCATGGCAATAAACTGCCATTTCCAGCCAATAGTGTTCTAGTTCAAATTTCATGCTGGATCAAGTCAAAAGCAACTCTGAAAGATAATTTTACTTGCATGCTAATTTTAAAAGAGGGTATATAGCAATATTTTATTTCTATAAGGCATCATAGGTTGGCTTTCAAACAAGAGTATCAAATACAAAACAAAATTCAGAGTCATATTTACCAGTTCATCTTTTAAAATTCTAGTTTTGCAATGACTAACCATATAGATAACAAGAACATTTTCATCTTTGCTGATGATAAACAGGAACGACTGACTTCACTAAACAATGTCCTTTTGTTTTCCTAATCTGCTTGAGTGTCACTAAAACATTGTAAACCAAATCATTCGTGGATTCAACTCTGATAAAGATATGTTGGCATTGGAAAGCTATATTTATGAAATACTTAAGCTCAAAAAGATATTGACTTTCATTGTTTTTTCCTGCATAATGTGAAACTTGAAAACAAATCATAAACAATGAAATAAGACATATTTTCAAAGCAAGAAAGAATGAGGTAACATTTGCTCTCTGTGGAATTTCAAGAGTTTTTTTTAATCCATCTCATTTACAATGAAAGCAGCCACTATTAAATCAATAGTTTTTATGGGTATTCTTTTATATTTTACTTACAAGCTAAGAAATTGTGTATTATCTCGACTATTGTAGGCCAGTCTGAGGAAGAACGTACAAGGCTGGATTATCACAGAACTTTCTTCAGCTTGGCCAACCACAAGCCTCATGCCTTATATACACAAGCCTAAAGGCTTACATCCACAAAGCAGAAGCTCTATTAGAAGTACTACTTGTTTTGCCTGGACAAGCCAACAACAGACTTGTCAAAGCAAAGCTCTCCTTGCTTGTGAAGCCGAAGTGTGGATTGCTTTCATTACATGCTCCTCTTCTGCCCTGGCAAGTTGACAAGGTCAGGATTATTTACAATTGCTGCTCTAAAAGAATATATATCTCAATCCTGAATAAAGAAATGAGTCTTAAAATACACTCTAAATTTGAATTTGTAAAATTAAACTTCATTTAAACAAGGTTTTGAATATAGTGTTCTATTATTTCAAGTAAAATATTTTGTTATAAAATTGTCCAGTTCTATTTGGCCTCTACATTAACAATTTATGAAAGGTATGTGGTTTATTTCTCACAAAAATAAACAAAATGAATTCATTCGTTTTATTCATATGGGGAATCACAGATTTACAAATTTCCAAGGTCAGAACACTGCAGTTTGAGAATATTTGGTGTAAATAGTTCATACAGTTCAATAATATTTACTTGTTTGTATAGAAACATACCCTATCATTATAAACATTGTAGTATCACAGTAAATATACTGGAAACAAATATTGACATAGGGAAAAATAAAAAAAATACTGTAATTTGGATCAATGGTAGCATATTACATGATTCTTTAAAGAATAACATCTAGTTTTCACAAAGGTAAAGAATACCTGGATATAGAACCAACTGAATCTTACCTGTATAATCAACTATGTGAAAAATTTGGGTTCTTTAAATGATCATAAAGATAGAACATTTAGAGGAGGAAAGCACAAATCCAGAAACTTTAAAACTGAGGAAAAAAAGAATCAACCATTCTTTGTGGGGAGCAAGAGTTCTGCTATCATATGCTAAATAAGCCATGTTTAAATGACACAGCAAAATATTTTAAAATGGTTTGTTTTACTTACAAAATACATAAGAAAAAGCACAGGGAAATTCCTCAAGGATAAGATGTTTACCATCTACATAAATCTGTGAACCTGGCAGTAGTTTGCATGACACCAACAGCTTGTTGCCCTTTGAGCTGGGAGAAGGTATTACAACTTTTTTGTGTAGAACTGCTGCCTTGAACTATTATTATTCCCTCTAATGAGTAAAATGAACTATATTTTTTCTCTCTGAATATAGTTGGGAAGGATTTAGCGCTGCTGGTCTTTTCAACTCTCACCTCTCCTTAGTACAAGCTTTGAACTGAGCCATCATTAACACCTATGGCCCCAGATCTACCTCGGGAGTTCTAAGAAATACAAAGTAAATCAAATTCTGGAGCAGAGCATCTCAGCAGCCGAACAAAACTGCAAGGAGAATACAGCAACCACTGCCAAGGTGGAAAAAAAACAAAACCGAGGCCTCCAGCTTTAAAAATTTCCCAATTAATCCAGCATAATGGAAGGTGGAAGAGCAGCATATTTTACATTACAGTGCCCCCAAAGGGCAAAAAAAAAAAAAGAGAGAGAAAGCGGTTAGTCATTTCCTCCAAATGCTCACTAGAGGCTGGGAAAAGGCAAAATCCAAAGCGCTCGGCGAAATTTCAGGAAGAAGAAGAAGAAAAGGAAGAAAGGAAAAGCCGTGATTTCACTTACTCCCAAGCGTTACGAAATGACACCAGGGCACGCAAAAGGAGGCCGAGGCTGCCTAGCAGCCGCTCCGTCTTATCACGCAATTCTTTTAACGGGCAGTTTAAACAGCCGATCCGGTTCGGAGGCTCTTTATCCGCCCGGATCAACGCTGAGCAGAAGCGGCGGGGGTGGGGGGGAAGGAAACCGCTTCCTCCGCCATCCTTTCACCTTCTTCAAAGGCAGCCAACGGAACCGGCTCGCCGAGCAAGGAGGCGGCCAAACTACCGAGGAAAGGCCGCCCTATCTTTCCTTTGGGCCTCCCTGCTAGACCGACCCCCCGTGTAGGGTGGGCCGGTATAGAGAGAGGGAATTCGACCGGTTCCTCACGGGGAAGGGCCAGGCGAGTCCAACACTACGCAGGAAGCCGGGAGCCTTTTCCTTGCCGTGAGGGAAGACGAACGGCCCACATCGCCCTGGCCGGGGGGGGGGGGAGGAGAAAGAGAGAGGAGAAACCGCCCCCGGTCACACTCACCGAGCAGGGCAGCCGCCAAGAGGAAACCCACCGCACTTCGGCCCGCCATGACGGAGCGCTCCGAGCGAGAAGAGAGGACCCGAAAGAAGAGGAGCGCCGCAACGAAGCCGCCAGCAACCACACGGGACGCGGGAGAGCCGAGACCTAACGCAGCGCTGAAAAAAACGTCCAGGGGCGCTGTCACATGACCCGAGACTTCGGCCCCACCCCCGCCCCTCCGTCGTTATTGCCCTCACTGTCACCTGATTTCAATTAAGACCCCGCCTCCTTTATTTGTTTTTTTTTTTTTTGTTTTTTTTA